GGGCTCTCTGCTCAGCAGGAAGCCTGCTTCTCTTCCTCTCTCTCTGCCTGCTTGTGATCTCTGTCTGTCAAATAATAAATAAAATCTTAAAAAAAAAAAAAAAAGAAAGAAAGAAAGAAACCCAGGGATTCTCGGCCTTGCAAATCTTTTTGCAGAAGCTCAGTCTGTAGCTGCTTCTACATGTTTTGGTAAAGGGAATTCCTGCAATAGGTAGGAGGCTAAAGTAGATGACGTTTAAGGTCCCTTCCAGTCTCAGCTTCTAAAGAGTAAGCAGAAGGTAAAAGCAAAGAAGAGGAATTTCTGAGATGCATGGTGTGGGCACTGTTGACAGGATGTGAGACACAAGGGGGCTATTTCAGAGAACTTGATTGTGACATATTTCCCATTCATAATGTAGCATCCTGATCCTTCCTATCTACCTAAAAACATGAGTTCATTACATCGGACCTACATTTTTCTCACCTCAATTTAACCCTTCAATGGTGATACAGTGATTTAGATGTCATGCCTTTCCCTGGGAATGGAAGATATGTGGAAGAAACAGTGGGCCAGAAACAGGAAATTGGAAGCTGTAGGATCTAATCCTGGTATTACAAAAAAATCACCATCTGTTTTTTGAGCAATTCCTTGCAAATTCCACATGGCTTCACCGGGAGGAGACTTGGGAGATGTTTGCTAAGATCCTTTTAAGACTGAGCACAAATAGCCCATCAGATACAAGATCTAGACTCAGGTGCAACCTCATGACTTTGCCTCTCATTATTCCACATTGGCTGCAGCTCTGAAATGAAATCCAGCTCACGTATTTTTTGTCTCAGGTTTTAAGGCTGAAGCAAGAAGTGAGCAGAAGATTCTGTGATTCCTCTTTGTGGCTACCGCAGTCAAGTGGAATAAGAAAAGCATGGATCAAACATCAGTCACTTCCAAGGACTCAGAAGGAGTCCTTCCCTAGCCTCCAAGGAATGGGTATCTGCCAGGCAGTGGGGAGGCCTGGCCCCCTAACTGCTTAAGGAGCACTTTGTGGGAGGTGCAGACCAAAGGTGAGTTTACACATCAGCGACTAAAGTTTCCTGCCACTAAGCATAAGAAGTCACTCATGAGCAGCGTCCCTAAACCACAGCTACAGGATGTGGGCATAAGCCCTTGTATAATTGTTGGCCAGGAGCCAATGAGCATTCATCCCTGTGCAAATACTTGGGCTTTTTTTTTTTTTTTTTTTGCTGTTAACCTTTGAAAACCACAGGCATTAGTCTCTCTTTCTTCCCCTTGGCACGAGTCATCTTCTTTTCTCCAACTTGGTCTCTTGTGTGTAAAGAATTTCTGAGGAACTTTTAAGCCTAAATTTAATACTTTTGCCCTCCCCTCTCTGGCCCCACCAAATGCCAGGCAGAGGTAAAGCCACCTTACAAAATATCTGCTGGCTCGGCTGGCTTCCGCAGCTTTGTTTGGGCTCTTCGATCAGATAGGAAATCAGAGAGTTCTATGAGTGACCTTAGCCTTTAAGAAAAGACAGGTAATTTCTGGAAATTCCCCTCAAACAACGATGACCTATTGTTTTCTTTACCTCAGAATTGGCCCAGCAACTATGAGGCCCTGATTTAGATGCTATGCCTTTCCCTGGGAATAGAGATATATGCAAAGAGCAGTGGGCCAGGAATAAGAAATTGGAAGCTTTAGAGTTTAATCCCAGTACCATCTGCTTTTTGAGCAATTTTTTTTTCCAGTTTCTATCACTTTGCTTCATTGTGAAAGGAACGCATGGGGTTGGATGATTTCCATGCCTCCTTAGCCCCAGGGCTCTGTGCATGGCTTTCTTAGTATTGCTTGAGCAAGGGGACAAGGAGAACAGGCCTCGAGGCAAAAGATCCAAAGCATATCAACTGGTTTCTCTTTTCTGCCTTAGAGAATGGCCAAAGGTCAGGCCTCCTAGGAGGCCCTATTGCCCACTTGAAGGTCAGGCTCAACAATTCTTGACAGCTACCCTTCTTATAAACATTAGAGAATCCACCAACCTTGCCTCTGTACCCAAGTATCCCACATCCCAGTATCCCAGTGTGAAAACTGAAGCTAAACTCACTCCAGCAAAAGAATTTTTTTTTTAATCCCTGAAGTCTCAACAGGTAGATGTTACAGAGTCTTAATCAAAAGAAGAAGAATATTCTAACCATCAGAATGACCCAAGATCTATCAAGAAACCTTGAACTATCTGTCAATAAAGATGTTCAAGCAGTTTTTGAAAGGAGATTTATCAAGGACTTCCTGAATGGGATAAAGATCAGATAAAGAAGATGGCCAACCATGACATTTTTTGATGATGTGCCTGATACTCAATGGCTCTTATAAAAAACCATATTCCAAATTAATGATGTCCCTTTCAGAAACTTTATTAGTACAGTTCAGATGACACTCTGAATGAACAGTCCAGGCTTATAGTAGGTCCCCTGATTTGTGGTTTGTATTTCCTGTTGAGCTTATGGACATGGAACCCAAGTTAGAACACCAAGAATCAAATGGGAGAATGATGGTCAGTAGGTCCATAGTGACCAAGGAAAAATTCCCCAGGGGAACTAAATATAGTTCCCTAGGATGTTGTCCTACTTTCTGCTTCTAAGTCTTATCACTCTACAGGCAGGTACTCAATGGTTTTTTGGGGTTTTCTTTGTTTGTTTGTTTGTTTGTTTGTTTTAATACAATAATTTAACCTCATTTCATTCAGTTCTTACAAGATCTTTATGAAGTGGGCAGAAAAGTTATCACTGTCTCCATTTTACAGATGAGGAAATTAAATCTTAGGAAAGTTGAGGTAATTTTCTAGGATCTCATTTGACTGATTCAATTCTTTTCAAAGAAAAAAATGATTTAATTGTCTAATCATTAGTAACAATTAGTTGGAGGATCATAGTGAGGTCTCTAGCTTTAAAGTGTAATATCAATCACCCATTTGTCAATCCTGTTCACAATATCCACTTCCTCTAGGCCCTACATCAAGTGATGGCAGGCTACCTCTTCCAAGGGGCAACGATTCCATCTTCAACATCCCTACCTGTAAGAAGTTCTTTTTTACCTTAACGCTCTTTCTAGATTCCTGAATCCTTTCATTCTCTGGTCATAGCCTGCATTTTAGGTCCCACATATCAGTTTATGGGATATCACACTAGACAGTCTTTGTGAAATGTGCAAAGCATTCTCATGTCATCATCCTTGAGTTCATTCTTTTCCATAGCAAACAGTTTCAGTGTTATTAAATGCTTATCCTATTTGTTAGAGGCTAGACCTCAGGGCTAAGAGACATCTCCCTCCTCTCATCTTTTGCATTGATGGGCCTGCACTGTGCTCTTTAGAAAGTCACTTGGGAACAGTCTGTCCTAGGTTACAAGGGGGACAAATGTGCAGAAAGAAGTCTATTGTCAGTCTGATCCTTAAATGGTAACTCAAAAGAATGTGCTGGACATTTCAGATGCTTCTGCCAACAAATGCCACTATCTTGAGGCAAACATGGATTTTCGGGCAACAGTGTTATAATAATTTGCCAATTATGCCTGCTTCAGAACCACTGCCAAAACAATCCAACGACTTTTCATTCCACTACTGTTGACAGGACAGCTAAGGATTTCAACATTTCCTTTTACAGTCTGAATAGAAGTTCCCTGCCTTGGGGACTATAACAATATTTGCCATCATGGTGGGGGGGTTGCTATTGAGGGGAAGTGGGTGCTGCGAAGAGGAAAGAGAGAGAAAAAGAGAAATGTTAATGGAAGTAAACAATGACAAAGACTAAATAAAATGAAGGTTATTTAAGGTGTGGGTTTTGAATGTCTGCATCAAATTGATGTTTGTTAATGAATCAGAGGACAAATCTTTGAAATTGAAGAAATAAAATTTTAGAAGAAAAGACTTTAAAAATAAACTCTTCACAAGCCACCCGCCCCCCCAAAAAATAGCTGGAATTTTTAACTTGAATACAAACCAATGTGTCTTAACTTTCAGTCTTGAGACAGACTTGAAAAGCTGATTGTAATAATATTTATGGTGTTCATCGTTCAAAGAAACTTTTCAAAATATATTAAAAAAATTAAATTGTAAAATTGAAAAAAGAAAAACTCAGAGATGAGAACAGATGAGATAATCTCCTGAGTTGTTCATCAGGGAAAGGAAGAGAGAACGTATGAGAGAAAAGAGCAAAGGAAACAGAATAAGATAGGACAGTATTTTTGAAAACATGCTCTTCAAAACCTTCTGGGACCCATCAACATTCCACAGGGGGCACCTCTGAGACCCATAAAAAGAGGAATCCGAGGCATTCCCATGTCCACTTCAATCTTAGCGGCCTTACTTCTATCTGTTCTACACATTAAGAGTCTAAAACATATTCCAATAGAAGAAAGTGTCTGCTATTGTAAAATAAAATGAAATAAATGTTTGAACAAAAAACTGCAGAAGAAATGAACCATTAAAAGTTCTTAAGCAGGGAGTGATAGGGTCAAATTGTGCTTTAGAAATCTGGCAACCAAATGCAGGCTGGATTAGAACAGAGTCAGCCTCAGATCAAAGATCCCAAGTAAAAGGCAATGGCAAAATTATCCAGGGGAACAGAATTAGAGACTTGATCTAATGATACACACCTGTGAAAATGGAAAGGCAAAAGAGTTCATGAACAAGGTTGAAAGAAGAATGAACTTTAAGTTTGATATCTGGGCATTGGGGTACAATGCTAAGCCATACATAAATTTGGTATTGTTATGGTCTGACTGTTTGTGTCACCCCAAAATTCATATGCTGAAATCCTAAAACCCAATGTGATGGTATTAAGAAGTGGCCTCTGGGAGGTGATTCCGTCATGAAAGCAGAGCTCTCATGAATAAGATTAATAAAAGAAGCACAAGAGAACCCTCTTGTCCCTTACTATGTGAGGATATGACAAGAAGTCTGTCACCTGGGAAGAGGGCCCTCACCTGCCTATGATGGCAGCCTGTTCTGAATTCCAGCCCCCCAAAAAATACATTTCTGTTGTTTATAAGCCACCCAGTCTGTGGAATTTTGTAATAACTGTCCAAGCAGACAAAGAAAGATACTATATGAAATTATTTAGCAAAGAATTTAGATACATCAAAACTGATGGCTTTCAGGGATGATGACTAGAACCATAAAAATGCCACAGAGAACTCTAGGATTTTGAAGATGTTGAATGTGAGTGGCTGTTTGAACACTGATATATATGATCAGCAGAAAAAAATACAAAACTGAATCTTGAAGCAATATCAGGGATATAAATATGGACTTGTAATTCATCCTCACAAAAAGAGTAGCTAAAATGATATAGTCAGACCCCAATGAAAGAGGAGATCAGAATCAAAGCACTCAAGATTAAGATCCAGAAAATGCCTACATTTAGAGGACAGAAGAATAAGAACCCAGAGTCTACCCTCAGTTTATGATCAGGCATTCATTGATAACATTATTTGATGAGCTTAAGAGAATTTATTTTCTGGTTTTAGGAAATTTGGTTATACTTACACGAGGTCTGAAGTGTACACATATCAGTCTAGTCAAGCTTTTAGATTTCCTGAGACACTAAGTATTCAAAATCATGTTATAGTATTAGGAAGTAATGAATTGTTTCAATCCAAAACTATGGTGGCCTGAAACAGAATCTTTGATAAATATGTATCAGTGGATGACATACTTAAACACCAAAAAACATCTCAAAAACCAATACTCCCACGGGCAAGGGAATAGCCAAGTTTGTTGCGGTTTCCAATGAATGACATCAGCCCCATGTAGGTTTCAATCAAAATGGGTTCAGTTAGCACCATCAGTCCGTTTCCTCTTTCAGATCCAGTGGAATTCTTGTGGGCATTCTGGATAGCTGGAACAAGCTTAGACGTGAACCCAGACAACTGAAGAGGAAAAGAAGGCACAGTTAGTAAATGTAAAGTAGGTTCAGAGACACTTCCTCCCTAGCCAGTCCTCACCAAAGTGGACAACTCTCCTGAGGCTGCAACTATCCTTATTTATATAGAAATTGTTTCCCAGATTATCAACATTGCTTCTGTTAGTCTTTTATAAATTCATCAGTCAATAGATTATGTACATAATGAAATCATCTGCCTCATCCTGTTTATTTTTCATCCTTCATAATTTGTACAACATTAAGAAGTCAGTTTAATAAATATTTGCTGGTAGTCTATTATGAATCAGATACCTGTTGGGTGCTGCTGAAGATTTAATGACAAGTAAGATAGAGTCTCTGTCTCCAAAGAAGTGATACTATAATAATCTAAAAAATGAAGTTCTTTTTTTTTTTTTTAAAGATTTTATTTATTTATTTGAGAGAGACAGAGAGAGCAGAGTAGGAGTAGAGGGAGAGGGATAATCAGACTTCGGTGCTAAGCATGCAACTCCAGGTGGGGCTCAATCCCATGACCCCAGAGCATGACCTGAGCCAAAACCAAGAGTCAGGTGCTCAACAGACAGAGATACCCAGGTGCCCCTAAGAAATGAACTTGTAACGATTACACAAAGTTTGTGAAAATAAAAAGCAAAAGAAGCACAAGATGCTAAGGTAACACAAAAGAAGGAGAAATCATATGTAATGAGAGGATCAGAAATGACCTCAAAAGGCAACTCTCGAGACAATCCTTAAAGGGTTCACAGGGTTTCATTAGGTAAAATGGGGTTAGGAAGAGCCTTGTCAACAGCTGTTGTTTTTTTCCAACCCAGCATCCTTTCTATCATGGGAGATACTTCTTCCAACAAGAGTACCTCCTTTGTTCTTTGGAGAACCACCCTATCCCATTTAGCCCACAAAGTTTAAGTGGCTCTGACTTTAGCATATGGTTCAGGCCTAGCCAATCAGAGGACTCCATTTTTCTGGTCACAGAGATTGGTTCAGAATGAGCACATGAACAGTATTGTTATAAAACTGATAGAATGCAAGCCTGGAGGTATTCATGGTCATTTTGCCACACATAGTAAGAACCTGACTGAGAAATAAGCCCACAAAAGTGAAAGAACTAAGATGTAGAGAAAGATGAATTCTTGACAAAGTCATTCAAGTTATTAGATCAGTCGACCCTGAACTTTTAAGTTAAGTGAGTAAAAGAGAAATTCCTTTTTTTGTTCAAGCCAAGATGAATTGGATTAAGAGGAGGTAATTCAGGGAGCATTCTAAACAGAGAAACAAGCAAGGAAATGAAGTAGGAAAGCTCATATCTTTTTTTTTTTATCTTATCCAATAAGCTCTTTTTATTTCCATGATCTCTTTCTTATATAAATGTGTTAGGTAAGTCAAAGAATCTATCATGACTTCCATGTTAGAAAACCAAGGTTCATGGAAGGTAAATGACTTACCCACAGTAACTCCACTTTCTGCATCACAGTGAAAAAGAACATGGGGAATAAAATCTTATTCACAGTGAGATACAAATCTGTCTCCTAGGCAACTGGCCACTAATCTAAATTAACACTCTTATTAGAGTATATTCCTATATCAATTCAAATTATTAAGCATACTATGTAAAGTGATCATTGTTCTTCCCATTTGCCCATGAGGAGACAAATCTTTGCTTTAAGGGACTAACACAAGATTCATGATTCAATGAAGAATAGAGAAGCCTGTAGTCCTTCTCTATAATACAATTTTCCATATAGGTCTTATCCTGGGTTCTTAATTTTATATTGCCCTTGGGCAAACCACTTCTTCTTTCTAGTCTTAGTTTCCTTATCAGTAAGAAAAAAACATTTAAAATTTAGAATGTATCTACTATTGCTAGTTAACCTAACCCATAAGAAAAAAAAAAAGCCATGCAAATAAAACTTCTATAATTTTCTGTGTAACATTGTAAATTCATTTCCCCTTTTGAGCCTTAGTTCATTCTTTTGAAAAGCATTGAGATCTACGGATTTTAGATAATATCATATCAGAAGTTAAAAAAAAAGATTATGATGATAAAGCAACATAGTTTTCTGGACTACCTCAATATCTCTAGGTTTTCCAAATAAACAGATATATTTGTCTCTTTTTTTTTTTTAAGATTTATTTATTTGAGAGACCAAGTGCATGTGCAAGTGGAGGAGGAGCAGAGGGAGAGAGAGAGAATCTCAAGTAGACTCCCTGTTGAGCATGGAGGCTGAGGAGGGGCTCAATACCACAACCCAGAGATTGTTACCTGAACCAAAACTAAGAGTTGGGCACTTACGGCACCTGGATGGCTCAGTTGGTTAAGTGACTGCCTTCAGCTCAGGTAAAGATCCTGGAGTCCTGAGATTGAGTCCCACATCAGGCTCCCAGCTCCATGGAGAGTTTGCTTCTCCCTCTAACCTTCTCCTCTCTCATGCTCTCTCTTTCAATTAAATAAATAAATAATTCTTAAAAGAAAAAAAATAAAATAAAAGAGTTGGACACTTAACCATCTGAGCCACTCAGGTGCCCCTGTCTCTTATTTTTCTTTAAAGTAAGAGTTAAAGTAATTGAGTGATACCAAAACATTAATTTTAAAAAATGGACTCACTTCACTGAGGCTAAAGAATGTAACTAACAAAGGAGTAGGGTTTTGCTTGTTCTCCATGGTAACAGCAATGACAGATAGAAGGTACTTCTTATTACTATTTGCAGTTCCAACATCCTCTTTGAGATCTTAAAAAGGATCTAAACATTGCTGCTTTTGAAAGATACAAGCTACAATCACACATCTAAAAGGAAGGACACCCTTCCTTTCAGCAAATTCCACCAGTGTTTTAGTTGATTGAATAAGAAAAGCAGAAAGAAGTAATCTTTCTTCAACTTCCAAAGAGGAAAGTAGAAAAGAAAGAATAAGTTAATACCATGGACATTTAATCACTATGTTTAATAATCATATATTCTCAAGGTCAGAATTGATCTTAAGCTTATCAAGTCACCATTCATCTGTTGTTATGCCTTGCCACATCCTTACCAAGAAGCCACATCCCTCTCCATGGACATATCCAATGATATGGAACTCACTGCTATCTAACCATGTCTACTTTATCACTGTATAGTGGGAAAATGCTTAGCCTTAGATACACAAAGCCAGGTATGTTTCCTTGTCCTATCAGTTACTGATGGTTAGACCTTCATATCTATCTAACCATATCTAACCATAACCTATATGGTTAGATAAAACCATATAATCTCACTGAGCCTTACTTTATACATCTGAAAATGGGAAAATAATAATGATGAGGATAATAATACTAAAGGCCAACCTCGTCAGATTGCTTATGAATTTAAGTTAATTATTCAAAAATATTTTATAAAGCATAGTATTTATAGGCACAAATATTTTCATTATTTATAGGCAGAGAAGACTTTGACTTCCACAGTCCCATTCCCTTCAATTCCATATTTGGAATGCTAATTTCTTTAATATGAATCATAGACTCCAAAATACAATTTTTTAACTCTGATATGAGCTTTTTAAAAGTAACAGAGTTCTCTGGATGCCAAAGGATATATTAAATTCTACTCAGAAAACAGGATTTCAAAAAACATGGCTTGAACATCAAATATCTCCCCCAAGTTATTTATCAGTTATAAAGGGAAAAATACAGACTTTGCAGAGGGGAAATCCAGCAAACACCATTTTAAACAAGTGATCAAGGTTAACATCACTAGTAATAAGGCATATACGCGTTGTGAGCCTACAGTAAAGACAAACAACATCATCTCTCTAGTATCTGCACCAAAAAAGCAGACCACAATTCAATTATGAGAAAACATCAGGCAAACCCAAATTAAGAGATATTCTACAAAACAACTGACCAGTATTCACCCGAAGTGCTAAGATCATGTAAACAAAGGAGGAGTGAAGGATATGATGAACACTGGGTGTTATACGCTACTAATAAATCATTGAACATTATATCAAAACTAATAATGTACTATATGTTGGCTAATTCAATTTAAATTTAAAAAAAAAGGAAGAATGAAAGACTGTCACAGTTTGGAGGAGAATAAAGGGACAGAACAGCTCAATATAATATGTTATCCTGATCTGAAGCCTGGGACAAACAGAGGATGTTAGGAAACATAAAACAAACAAATAAACAACAACCAAAAAAAGTAAAATTTGAATAAGGCCTCTAGTTTACTTAATATTATTGTACCACTGTTGAATTCCCAGGTTTTGATTATTATATTATATTATATTATATATTATATTATATTATTATGTAAGTTGTTAGAAGAATTTTAATGACAGGTTCATGGAAACTTTACCATCTTTGCAATTTCCTGTAAGTCTAAAATTATTTCAAAATAAAAAGCCTTTAAACTCTTAATTGAAAGAAAATCCTAAATATTAGTTCCTCAAGATTATTAAAGTTTTCACTTGATCAAGGAGAAAAGTTCCAAAAAAAACCAGGTGCAAGATGACACTTTCAATTTGTTTCTCTTATCTCTGTATTTTTTAATATAAACCTACACCAAAGTTATGCCAGCATTACTGAGTTTTCATTAAGACTCTGTTTTCTGACATGAATTTACACGAAGACAATTGGGTTCACTGAAGAATTTTCCATCTGAAAGAAATAATTTATAAATTGTTCCATTTTATTTTTCTGAAAAATTTCCATTGGATGAATTCATTTATATACAATTAAATTAAATCAAAAAGTTGATTTTTATCCATTTCAAGTTTTGTCATTTTTAAGTTTTCTTCTGAGAAGATTACTTTTAATATTATTATTTTCCTGAGTGTGTTTTTAGTTGTCAATTTAATTTTGTGTTTAACTCTACTAACACTAACTTTCTTCAGGCCAAATTTTGCTTCTTAATGTAAAAACATGCAATTCTTCACTTTATTTATTAACTATGTGAGGTTACCAGCTATCATTTTAGTTTTAACAGCTATAATTTTCTATGCATATATGAATTATT